GATCCTTTTTTGTTTTAATTAATTTTATCAGATAAGGTGCTTTTTATATCATGGCTTTAGTTTGGTTTCTCCGAAACCTGAATTACGTGTGTACATTTTTCAGAACTACAGAACTGGTGCTATGACCCATTTATGTGAGAAGCCTAAACCTCAGAGAAATAATTGAAATTAAAAATGGAAAAAATGTCAGAAATTGTTGTCCAGTAGTTCAAACAGTGGCAGAATTACAGAAAAAGATATGAAATATGGAGAGTGAGGGGGAACTATTGGAAATATTGTAACAATTGCTAATATCAGTTGATGGGATGATTGTTTCCCTTCTGACTTGTAAACATAAAGAGGAAAAAAGGAGAGTAAACCAGAAAAGAGCCTAATATAACAAAAGAAATGGGGGGAAAAATGGTAGGGAGGAGGAAGCAAGCATTGGCAATCAATGAAGGATAAAAACAATGCCTAGTTTAGTTGATAAACTTCTGGGGAAAGAGGATTTACTTAAACCTTATGAAACCTTTATAAACTTTATGGAAGTTTTATTCTCTGCTATTTAGCCACTGAGGTAGGAGAACTATGATAATCATAAGAGCCATAGTTAGAGACACAGGACAGATTTCTTGCAAAGTCCTCTAATTTCTAGCCACTTTCTTTCCTTTTCAAGTAAATCATGAGTCGTTAATGGAAACGTTCCTGGAGAAAGGCAAATTTTTGCCCTTCTTCCCTGAAGATCTGTGAGAATTTGCACAAAAGAGCCTCAATTCTCACTCACAGAAGTAAAACCCATCTGTATAAAAAGAGCAGAAAGGATGAGTACTGATGGCTGGACTCAAAACCACACGTGTGAATTTTCTAACAGACTGGAAAAATCACTTCTTTTTGTTACTCCTCCTGTCCTGGCAAAGCCCAAGCTGATGCACGATTTCTATCTCTTACATAGCAAATGCATCATCCTCACTCATGCGCTTATGAATATGTTATAAGTTGTGACTAAATGTAATTATGTAAATGATAGTCATTTGTTTGCTATACAGATTAATGTTCTGCTTCATTGGGGTCCCAATATGGAGCAGCAGAAGTTTGAGCTTTGCAGCTGTGCCTCTGTGTGGTGCTGCCTCTCATGTAAAAATTAAAATGAAGATGAAATTTGTCTTTTAGTTAGAAGGAACAAAACAAACCATCTCTGTGTTACTTAATACATTATCTATTACTTTCTACAGGTAGCAGAATCAATCACCTTTCCCAGTGGTGGCAAACTCCTGGGGAATAATTTCATACACCTCCACCTCTATAATACAACGTCACAGTGTTAATTAAAATCTGAAAAAAATGGATTTGTCTTTTTTCTAGGGAAGCTAAGCTCCCTTTGTCAAACTGAGACCTGTCAAGAGGCATGAAAAGTAAAGTTCTGCTACAATGAGAAGATACAGCTAATAAGAATTTGTATAAAATGGATTATCCTTCCCATTAATTTTTTGGGGTTTTTTTAGCTAGTAGGTTTTTCTATTTTGCATCAGGATTAATCTGAGAGCTTTTAAGGCTGGGAAGACTGTCTAACAAAGAAAACCTCTTCCAAAACATAAGTACCTGTGTGCTTCATAAACTTGCATGAACAGATGTTTCTTTTAAAGACAAGTCACACTAGCAACTCTGTGTACTGTTGACTATTTCTCCTCCCTCTCTAGAAAGTCACCTGGAAAGGCTTTTCAGAACTAGGGTACAATACTGCTGTCAGGCTGGCTGGTCCCATATGAAGTCCCAGATCTGACTAGTTCTCAGAGTTAGGTAGTCCATTTCTCTTGTTTAAACCAGTAACATTGCATGCAAACCGAACACAGCTTTACATCGTTATGGTAACATTTCCAGCACTCATAATACGGTTACTGCAAAGTGTTTATATTCAATTTTCTAATTATGTCTCTTGAATTATGCATGTCTCTACCTAATATAGAGGATGCAACATAAGTAGCTCTAGGGAAGAAGGGTAAAAAAATCTACCAGAGTTAAGGAGACTTCTAAAGGTGGTACTGAGTTTGTTAAAAGTGAGACCAAATGATGTGCAATTCTCTCAATAAAGTTCCTTTCACTGACAACGTCAGTCCTAAGACTTGCTTTATTATCAGCACATCATGGCAATGGAAGCAGGAACAGACTGCCTACACACTCTATTGCCTTATTAATAAAAATTCAATATTCAGGAAAAGGAAAATTGTCTTTCAGGGCTCTTGCATCTGTTAACAATGAAAGAACCTCTGCTGTTCTGCACTTCATGTTCGTGGAGTCACCCAAACCCCTTCCCACAAAATTTTAGCCCTTCTTTACTTAATCAGCTTTCTATTAATTGCACATGTAAGAAAAGTACCAAACTTATTTCTATTACTCTTCAAACTATATGTTGCTCTTCTCCAACCATAGTTACAGAAGGACTAGTCACTAGATGTTTCTGGGGAGCACTTGGTGATGCAGAATTGAGCATGAGATCTGTTTGGATCTCCTCTTGAATCCTCTTGTGCCATGAATCTATATTTCTAGCTACTCAAAAGTAGCTTTAGAGTAACCCTCACTGTTTTGGTGTTGCTATGAAATTGTGTAGGAGCAAACCATGTGTATCCCTGAGAACCGGGCACTGATTTCTTACACTGACTTTTTCAGGTCATCTATCTCATTCTAAACCCACAAATTTCTGTTTATACAATAGGAAACAGAAAAATAATCCCTTAGATAGTGACCAGTGTGCCTTGCTGGTTCCTTATATAGCTCTAGGGGAAGTAGTAACACTTTCACACCTTAGAAATAGGCTGTTTATAAATTACTCAGAGCTTCTTAGGTGAAATAGGGTGTTGAGTTCACAGCTATTATTCTTGCAAGTTTTACCCATTTGAAGGAATACACCCAGGGTATTTAGAATCTTTAAAAATATCATCCACAGGAGGAAGAAGAGAGTTAACTTTTTAAACATGTTGCTGATTGATTCATAAAGATTAACTTGCATTGCCTTGTTACATACATACACAGTGAAAATTACAGGAGGGCAATTCATACAGCATGTTCCTCTTTTATAATTTAACAGAAAATATCCTTTATCCTCATTTTAATCTCTCCCTACTTTCATGCTCAGATGTTAATCAGTGTACAGAAAGTCTGCCTCCAGTCAGCCCTGATCCATTTCTCACAGTACTTGCACGTCACAGAGAAGCATAATTGTACAGCCACAGCAACAGCAGACCTGACCCACCAGGATGCTCCATGAGTGCAACCAGTTCAAATATTCATAAAGCTACTAATTTATGGCAAGTTCTTGTCTCCCATCAGGGTTTTCCCTTGGACTGCATGCAGATTCCAAGTGTAATATGCCTTCTTGCAAAGCAGAATGGTAAGAAATTAATATTTCAGGAAGTGAAAATAGAAAGATAGAACAATGCCATGGCTTTCCATAATTTTCCTAAAAGAAATATTTTTCCAAGTTATCATTAATCATATGTGCAACCAATAATGTTTGAATAGTTATTTGGTTACGTAACAATATAATCCTGTTTATTGATTTTTCATCAAATATCAGTTTTGTGAAAGTAATTACGCTAATCAAAAATATGTGGTTGATAATATTATTCTTTGTAAACATTGTTAAATATCAAATATTTTAAGATGTTATACAATAATATAACCTTTAATGTTTCTCATTTCTCATCTCCTAACAAAGAAAACATGCATTTCCTGTTTTCCATCACAGTGAAACAAAACAGTGCAAAGTGACAGAATAAAACTTAAAGCAATAGAGTCCTTGTGGCAATCAAAGTATTTTTCGTCAGAAGAGTCCAGTTAAAACTATTACAAAACAGCTGTATCCTAGAGGTTGGCCTGAGGTGACTGTTTCCAATCCTTTTCAGGTTATGAGTTAGAAAAGGTGCAATAGATACTCTAGACAGGAGGTGATCTGTAGTGTGATCAACTAATTTTCAGACTGCAAATTTAAATATATAAATTAACAGCATCTTTAAAAGAAAAAAAAAAAAGGAGAAAAAATATAAGTAGCATCATTTGGTAGATGAGAGAATGCTAAATATGAAGTGGCCATGTACTACAAGCATTGCACAAGCCAAGCTGTAAGACTTTAAGCCAAGTCTCTGCACGTTCTCTTGCCAATATGTCTCAGCCCTTCTCTGGAAGGCAAATTGTACTGATGTGAATTCAGTCCTTGGCTGTTCAGCTAAAACTACTGATATCTTTTACTCCCCATCATAAAGCAAATTCTTGCCGGTACTGTGGATCTACAAGGTCTGAGACCTATACTCAAGATCAAAAGACAAAGATGCCTCTAGAGGAGACACCTAAGGAGTTCTGGTGACCTGAGAGATGCAATTGACCGCTTTGCCTTCACGTCAGGCTTGGGATTCTGGTTCTCAGAAAGTCAGGAGTCAGATTGGAGAATAAGGCCTTCCTTACTGGGAAGGGAAAGTGTCTTTTTAAATTCTGCTAGGCTGCAAGTATCAGAATATTTGTGTCAGTGACACTGGCTAATTTTAGTTACCAAGCTAAATCACTGTCAGTGTGAAGAGGCTGCAAAGAAATGCTAAGCTGATAAATGACTTTGGGTCACCAATAAAGTGATGACTCTGTATGGTCACTCACTGCTGGAGGGCCCACAAGCTTCCCAAGGAGTCTATTAGCTCCATAATTGTCCAAGCAAAGCTACTTCTTCCCTTCGTAAAGGCTCCCTGTTTCCCTAATTCCCTTAAGGCTTGGCTTTGTCTCTTTACCAAACTCTCCGTGCCAGCCGTAGAGAACTGTGCTTTAAATTACTCTGGCAAAAGGCAGCTGGGAATGGTTGTTACACTGCAGTGAGGTTCATGTTATGCATTGCTGATCAGGCACTGAATGAAGCAGACCCAGTAGGCACTTTGGCTCTGTTACTGGGAGTATAACAGAGAAAAGCACTCCAAATGGAAACAAACACAAAAAAGCCCTCAGAACAGTAAACAGCTCTGCCAAAGCTGGGGGAAAAAAAAGAAAGGAAAAAAAAATCAGAGACAAACCCTTCATCAGTGAGAACTATAACCAGAGAAGGTTAATGCCCTTTAACAGGTCATGTGCAAGCTTCGTGGCAGCAAAAAGGAACATGTACCTTAAAGGATTTGAGTTCTTATAGCCTTTGGAGGCTAATGTAACATCTTACTGGCATACTTGGAGGACTACGGACTCTGTGAGTACAAATGTGGGTGGGGATTGTTCGGTTGGGGGTTTTTTGGGAGTAGGGATTGATTGGTTGGTTTGGTTGGCTGCATTTGCTTTAACATATAGTTGATTTAGTAAAGATTAAAAAAACAGGAAAGGATTTTTAAAGCTCAGAAAATCATCTTATGAATTTGGGAACCTACACAAATCCCTAGTATGAAACTTGTCTGCACTTTTAGAATGAGAGAGAACACTCTTTTCAGCCATGAACACAGGACTCAATGAAGTGTTCACAAAGAGACTGCAGTTTGCCAGAAAGGCACCTATAAAGCTCAAAGTCAAGATGCACAGAAATGGGAGTAGCCTGTGTTATTCACAACACCACCAATCAAGAGATTCAATGAAAACAATTCCATTGGGATGCTAAGGGGAAACAATGGTTGAAAGTACATGTGACATCAAAGAGAGTCTGATGAGAGTTCAGACAGGAGAGTTCTGCTATTTCTACATCACACAACAAAAGGGAGGCACATGCAGGTAATGAGCTGGAAGGTGAGAGACTAGTTAGGAAGAAAAACAAAACCGAACCACAAACAAAACAAACAAAAATAAAAATCACAAAACTAAGACAACTGAGCCCTGAGAAATTTCAGAATTGAAACCAACAGAATCACTTTCTGACAATAACATTGTTACCTAAAGGCTCCCCTGTCCTGATCTCAGAACACATGTACCTGGACATTGTTAAAAACTGTTCTTAATAGGGTGCTTATTGATATTTCAAAGGACAGGTATTGTTTTGAGGTTGACTGCCTCTAATATTATACTTAGCTTGTGCAGAAAGTATTAGAGCTTAAATAAAATGACACAAAGCAGTTAACTCAGTTTCTGTGTTATACAATAGCTAAGATATGCAACATAGCCTGGATAGAAGCAGATGCTTCTGTGGCTTTCGGGAATTACAGAGCTACAACTGAGACAACAAATGATTTTCTAGATGGAAAACGAAGTAGTTGAAATAGATATGAATACGGTACAGGGAAAGGACAAAAATCAACCTGTAACACTTATTCAAAGTAAGAATTGCAAACCACTCCTTTGTGTACTAGAGACTCCTCCATTCCCATGCCCAAATCATCCAGCTGTTTAGAGCAGAGAGTCTGGAAAATTAAGCACTAGCTTGAAAATATGGATTCCGCTATTTCAGTAGGTGACAATGGCTCCCTTCAAAGTCCAGGCAGGGAAAAAGACAGTCTGAGTCTGACATTTCACAGCAGGTTAGCTCATTATGAACAAAAATGGAAGTGACTGATCACACCGTAGAGAGACCCTAAGTCTACAGGTTAAACATACTTCAAGAGTTGGGGTCTGATCTCCCTCATCTGGGTCCAGCTGCCACTTCTCAGCCTCTCTCCTCCTCCCAGCCATGTAAAGCCGCTTCCCCACTAACTTCTCAACAGTGCCCTTCTCCTTTCAGTCTTGTTTTTGAGCCTCTCAGCTTGAGCTGGCCAAATACAAGGGAAGAAGCTTTCAGAAGTCCTCCTTTCCCTGCTGCCAGCCTCAGAGAAAACAGCTCCTGTCCCTAAAGCCTCTGTTCCCCTTTGCACACAGCTACTTCTGCCAACAAACCCCTCTGCTTACTGTGAAAAGTCCCTTCATTTACTTGTTTATTTATGGGGTGGGGGAGCTGATTTCAATATATGTAAATGAAAGCCTGCAGGAGAGAAGGAGGAGAATCTTTCAGATTAAATTTGCCCATAAGCACAGCAGCTAAATTTCAACTTTATCTATAAGGTTATGACTAAATACTAATGACCTTACTAACTGAATACCTAAGATCTTAAAAATCTTGAATTGAAGTCTTACAATTTTCTATCTGCTCTTCACTCCTTACCTCTTAACGCTATCCCTAATGACAGTATTTGCTTTCCTGGCCATCACTACTTACATGCCCCCCAAAATATGAGGCAAACATTGATATGTGTGACAACCTTTCGAACAAATTTCTTCTCCTTTCAAAAAATTTGTATTTTCTTACTCTTTCTAATAGTAGTATTTTTACTATTCTGATTGCTATGCTCTCTTCACCATTATTTTAATTTGCTACCCATTTTACCAAATTTGCCCTGCAATTTTTTTATTGACTTGAAAGCATTGCAGAAATGCTTTCCAGGAGCTTACAAGTGACTGGGAAGGACACTCAAGGCACAAAGCCTGCTAGCAACAAAGTAAAGATGTTTTTTTCATTCCCCGGGCCATGAATTGCCTTCTTCCCATGGAATCCCCACTATTGCTGTTTGCATGTGAGGGTGAGATTTTTTTAAAAAATAGTTGGATGGGAACTCACAGGATTCTTAAACACAATTAGTGAGCTGAGATCAGAGTACTACACATAAGGCTGATCTAAAGCTGAAACAGAAAAGCATGGACCTGATTACATTAATTTGAAGTCACCACAGTGGGCATAAGTAGAGTATATCTGCTTATATCACACAGGTAAGTAGGACATGTCATTATTAATGAAGCTGCATGTTAATCCTATGTAGAAGTGTCACAAGGCTTTCACTCTTTGCAGGAAGCATTGCAGCTTGGGCCTGGGTACATGGCCATTAGTGGGATCCGAGGATCCTGTGGTGGTGGCTGTAACTGCAGAGTGTCCTCGTGTCTTCTCTGCACAGCAGGTGGTTCTTAATGGTTTCTCAGGATCCCAGCAAGTCCTCTCTTTGCTGGCTGCTTCAGCACCTTAGGCCAGTATTTTCATCATCAGGTGTGGCTGCACTAATAGGAGCAATCCTCAGGTGTCTGACATGTCACTTAGATAGATGCTTATTCCCTAACTTCACATGAACTCAGCTGCTCTGCTGCTGAACTCCAGATACATCAGCTTCCCAGCCCAGCTTTGAAGTTTCTTTTCAGAGGTTTCAGAGCTATGGCATTTTATTATAACAGGACCTCTACTGCCTTCCTCCATACAACCATCTTTCATTTTGCCATGACTGGTAATGCTGGGAATCAGGAAAGGTTCTTGCAGATGTTATTGATTTCAGCATCATGCTCAAGATGCATGGCTGAAACTGGCCACACAAGCAAGGTTTGAATGCTCTGCAAAACCAAGAAAGGTTTTGAACCTCTCCTCTAACCTTGTTCACTTGCTTTACTTGGCCAACTTCTGAAATTTTTCAAGAGCACATGCAGATCCACTAGACACAATTTAAATGGCACTGCACCAGGTGAATATTACCTGGCCTGAACTCATTACAGGAGATCTTGCCTGCATTGCTGCTTTTAGAACAATTATATAAGTACTTACCCATTTCTATTGCTATTTCAGATAACATTTTTTACAGAACAGTTATTGTATCTCATTCACTTGTTCTTTTGAGTCTTTCACATTTTATCATTTGTTCTTGTTTTTATTTCAATCTCTCTTAAACGGTGCAAGAATTGATTGGCTACTGGAAATTCTTTTTCCAGGACAACATTGCACCTTAGGCTTCACCTTTGTGGCATCAAGATCAAACACAGGAATCTCAGCAATGTAAAAGCTGCTGCTATGCTGAGAACACTTTTTTGTATTTTGTGATATATTTTAAGCAGACAGCCACACAATACACACTCCCTTTGCAGCACCCTGACACGTTTCTTACATCCAGTAACAAGAGCTAAGGACAGCAGGGCTGACATCTGCACTCATGAGCCAAATCCCACCAGGGAGGATTTTTGCAACAATACTTCTCCAGCTACTACACCTGAAGCTGTGATTTTTAGTATTCTGTTTTCTAAACTTAGTTATCTTCAGAAAGTCTTCTCTTTGTTCCAGTTATTCCTTAAAGATACACCCACATCCTTATCCCCAACGTGTTACAGAAGTGCTGTGTTTTCTACTTACCTAGAGTAACATCAATGGTGTCTAATCATTCCTAACCTGATTTCTAAAGGTCAGAAACAAGAGGTAGGAAGAACTGTTGCTTTTAATTGCTTTTAACATCCAAGTTCCCTTCATTTGTAGCAATGCAATAATTTTATCCTGTGCTTCTTTCAGATCCTACCGTATACAAAAACTACACAGTATCAGCTCTGGAATATCTCTTGTGCTAAACAGACAGCAGATGTTCCCCTGAAATGTTGTCTACCAAATGGAGTTTTGAAAGCAAATTCTCTTTGTTTCTTTTCCAACTGAACCAAATGAAATAATAGACTCGCAATTATCTAACCAAACCTGGAGTAAATACACGTATTTTTATACTTTTGTATAGATGTCATGCTTTAACCCCAGCCAGCCACTCATTCACTCCTAGGTGGGACGGGGAAGAGAATCAGAAGGGTAAAAGTGAGAAAATCTGTGGGTTGAGATAAACAGTTTAACAGGGAAAACCAAAGCTCTGCGTGCAAGCAAAGCAAAACAAGGAATTCATTCCCCATTTCCCATGAGCAGGCAGGGGTTCAGCCATCCCCAGGAAAGCAGGGCTCCATCATGCACAGTGGTTATTTCAAAATACAAATGCCATCACTCCAACTGTCCACCCTCTTTTTTTTCTTCCTCCAGCTTTATATGGTGAGCATGGAGCGATAATACCATGTGGAATATCCCTTGGGTCATTTGGGGTCAGCCGTTCTGTCTATGTCCCCTCCCAACTCCTCATGCACCCCCAGCCTTCTCACCAGTGGGATGGGGTGAAGAGCAGAAAAGCCTTGACTCTGTGTAAGAGCAGCTCAGCATTAATGAAAACCTCTGTGTATTATCAACACAGTTTCCACCATAAATCCAAAACACAGCCTTGTACTAGCTGCTGTGAAGGAAAAACTCTATCCCACACAAAACCAGCACAAAAGAGTTTCCATCTGTTTGGATAAATCATGCAATTTCAGTATCTTCCTTTTGATAATTTTCACAGGTCTGGGCCACATCTACCATCCCTTCCTTAAAATAGACATAAATTACCTCACAAAAATTCCTTCGTTTCATTATCCTCCCTCACTCTTAAGGAAGATCAGTTTTGTGCTTGAAGCTTTTGCAATGGCCAAGTA